TCTCTCTCTCTCTCTCTCTCTCTCTCTCTCTCTCTCTCTCTCTCTCTCTCTCTCTCTCTCTCTCTCTCTCTCTCTCTCTCTCTCTCTCTCTCTCTCTCTCTCTCTCTCTCTCTCTCTCTCTCTCTCTCTCTCTCTTCTCTCTCTCTCTCTCTCTCTCTCTCTCTCTCTCTCTCTCTCTCTCTCTCTCTCTCTCTCTCTCTCTCTGTCTCTCTCTCTCTGTCTCTCTCTGTCTCTGTCTCTCTCTCTGTCTCTCTCTCTGTCTCTCTCTCCCTCTGTCTGTCTGTCTCTCTGTCTCTGTCTGTCTCTGTCTCTCTCGGTCTCTCTCTCTCTCTCTCTCTCTCTCTCAAACACACACACACACACACACACACTCTCAAACACACACACACTCTCAAACACACACACACACACACACACACACACTCTCTCTCTCTCAAACACACACAAACACTCTCCCAAACATACGACCCCCCCCCCCCCCCCCACACACACACTCTCTCTCTCTGTCCAGATATCAATGAATGCCTTGTCGGGGAGGCAGTGTGCACAATGGACAGGGAGTGTGTGGACACACCGGGAAGTTTTCTCTGCAACTGCACATCTGGAACCCGAGACACTGGCGGAGTGTGTGAAGGTAGGCTGATCACGGTGGGAGAAGAATCTGATCCATAAAAGGAAACCTCGTTTAGTGTCTGTATTCCGGGAACTCACGATTGTACAGTGTGAGCCAGTACAATGACGACGCTCTGTGAAGACTGGTGAAAGATAGAAAGAAAAAGATTCGCGGTTTGTGTGAGACTACACTGGAGACCGAATTTTCCTCATCCGCTGGGACGCCACCACCCTCAAAGATCAAGGCGCAGATGCAGCTTCTAAAGCGGTGGGAGTTGAGTAGATCAGACCCACCACCAAAGTGGTCAAAGACCGAAAATCCCATTCGCTGCATCCATGCTTCCTTTATGCCAGGGCACGAGTTCCCAATTAACTGCGGGTCGCAGCACGGCTGGAAAAATCCTTCCACTCCCAAGTAGGACTTGAACCTGGTACCCTCTGTTTCTCAATCATGGTCTTAGACCATCCCACTGTGCCTGCCTAGCACTGTGCCTGCCTGGCTGGTGGAAGAACCAACAAAATTGTGAAACTACCACATATACAAGTAGAATGGACTGGAAAATTCAGATTCTGATTCTACTGATAGTGCGGCAGGCATAGTGAGATGGTTTAAGACCAGGATGGGGAAACAGGTGGTACCAGGCTCAAGGCCTGATTGGAAGCGGAAGGATTTTTCTAGCCGCGATGCGACCCTCATTCAATTGGACCTCTTGGCCTGGCACGGGGAAGCATGGATGCTGCGAATGGGATTTTCGGTCTTTGCCCACTTGTTGGTGGGTCCAATCTACTCATTTCCCAATTAGGAGCTGCATCTGTGCCTTGATCCTTGAGGGCAAAGGCGTTCCTACGAACACAGAAACTCAGCCTTACCGGGTCTCGCCCAAACCGTGATTCTGTGAATAAATAACCTGGGGAAATGTATGGAAAATAGAAGTGTAAACACGCTCACCGTCGTGTTTAGGATTCAAACGTTTTCTTGTGCCACTTATCAGGAACCAATCACCACAGTACCTTCACTGGCCTTTTATAATTTATTCTCCTTTTTAGTCGATATCATGTAATTAGGCAAATTTGCCTGTTTGTTCTTCGACTCTAAATAAACCAACAAACAAAACAGCGGGTTACAACTAGAACCAAATCAAATTGCATACGTCCAAGAGTACATAACCCAAGAGTGTGCAACTCCAGCTATGGGGTCTGCGACGGCAGAACTTCAAATCACGTGATGAACCCGTACACATTATTTGCACTCTGTGCATGATAGATACAGGGTTGTACGCAGCCCAGCTTTGGGTACAACTCTCTTGTGGTCACTTTGCACTGTTTGCCAGCATAACCTTTTGAACCATGTCACGTGATGTGAAGTTCTGCCGTCGCAGCACAGCATAGAGGTTGTGCAGGCAGTTGCACACTCTTGGGGTTACAGTCAACTTCGCCAATAACGACATTCGGCGGGGCATCAGAAAAATGTCCTTATTCGCGAAGTGTCCTTATAACCGAAGTCCCATTTGAATGTATGTGAACCCATATTTTGTATAGTATGATATGCATATCAAAATCAAGCTCTTTTCTTGCTCTATGTCAATGTGTACTTTATTTTCATATTGCAGTTGAAAGGAACTAAAAATTCAATATGCAAGGGAAATCAATTGAAAAATATGCCTTTTTGAGCCATCTACAGGGCCAGAGATATGTACATGTATGAAAATTTACTGTACAATCATGTACAACTACATGTACATTGTATACATATACATGTAGGTGTGCTGGTAAATCCAACAATTTTGATAAAAAAAGGAAGAAAAAGCCCCCCCCCCCTTGGCTGCATTTTCTTGCATGTGTGCAATAATATCCATCACCGGTACCAGTGCACCATAGGTTCTGGTACTTCTGCATGACAGGTACATGTACTTGACTGACAGGTACTTGAAATAGCTGTCAAAAGCCCAGAAAGTCGTTATTCAAGCAGTGAATATGACCACGGGGCACTAAAAGCATGTCGCTATACGCGAATTGTCGTTATTCAGATAGTCGTTATATCCGAAGTCAAATGTATACAGTTAGATGGGACTTTGCTCTGGGCATGGAAATTCGGTCGTTATTCGCGAATTGTCGTTATATCCGCAGTCGTTATTAGCGAAGTTGACTGTATGTACTCTTGATACGTCTAATTAGCTAGAGAAACAGTAAGTGCTACGAAATCCAAAAACAGGTAATGTAATTGGCACTGGGAAGCGTGATTTGCTTATTCGAGTGTTTCCCTAGACCAGTTCAAAGGTATTCCAATCCACCAGTGCTTACTCTATTGTTCTTTGCTATGCAGATGTGGATGAGTGTATGGAAGGACTACACAACTGCATTGACTCGAACAGTGTTTGCCAGAACAGTATTGGGAATTTCTCCTGTAACTGCACGACTGGCTATCGGACAGACACTGGGGGTGGACCCTGTGTGAGTAAGTGACCTTGAAGCAATATTTCATCTCACCGAGATCTTAATTTTAAAAGATTATGTTGTTGGTGACACAAGGCTGGTTCTGTAGCTATTTACTGATTTTACTCCATGCTATATGGCCGCCTTTAATATTGCGGTTTCTCTCTCGCTCTCATACGTGCTTTCTCTCTATCTCTTTCCCTCTCTCCCTCTCTCCCTCTCTGTCTCCCTCTCTGTCTCTCTGTCTCTCTGTATCTCTGTCTTTCTGTCTCTCTGTCTTTCTGTCTCTCTGTCTCTCTGTCTCTCTGTCTCTATGTATCTCTCTGTCTCTCTCTCTCTCTCTGCCTCTCTCTCTGTGTCTGTCTGTCTGTCTGTCTGTCTGTCTGTCTGTCTGTCTGTCTCTCTGTCTCTCTGTCTCTCTGTCTCTCTGTCTGTCTCTCTCTCTCTCTCTCTCTCTCTGTCTCTCTGTCTCTCTGTCTCTCTGTCTCTCTGTCTCTCTGTCTCTCTGTCTCTCTGTCTGTCTCTCTCTCTCTCTCTCTCTCTCTCTCTCTCTCTCTCTCTCTCTCTCTCTCTCTCTCTCTCTCTCTCTCTCTCTCTCTCTCTCTCTCTCTCTCTCTCTCTCTCTCTCTCTCTCTCTCTCTGTCTCTCTGTCTCTCTCTCTGTCTCTCTCTCTCTCTGTCTCTGTCTCTCTGTCTCTCTCTCTCTCTCTCTCTCTCTCTCTCTCTCTCTCTCTCTCTCTCTCTCTCTCTCTCTCTCCAGATATCAATGAATGCCTTACCGGGGAGGCAGACTGCACGATGGACAGGGAGTGTGTGGACACACCGGGAAGTTTTCTATGCAACTGCACATCTGGCACCCGAGACACTGGCAACGTGTGCGAAGGTAAGCTGATCACTTTGGGTTTTTGTTTGTTGCATACAAGCCAAATAGAATCAGAGACAAGTAAGAACTCCCATGACCTACGACCAAACGCTTGCTGAACTTGGACTGGCTGAGGGCGGTTGACCAATCATTGTACGTGTGAAGTTCAGAGCCAGGATAGCCTCTACAAGTAGTCTGCGTAGTAGGGTTCGATCGCCCACTGCATGGTTGCAAGCTCAGAATAGAACTTTTTAGTCGATCTCATGTAATAAGGCAACACTGCCTGTTTGTTCTTCGACATTAAATAAACCAATCCACTCCAATCCAAACCAAGATTTACCGTGGCCGAAATCGCCGCAATGAATACCGTTTCATGTTTCATGTCATCCAACATCTCTGTAACTCGGTTGTTATCATTCTGATTCTGATTTCAATTACAATTTGTGTTCCTCTTTGTTCAGATATTGATGAGTGTATAGAGGGCCTCCATAATTGCCATGGCAACAATTCATTCTGTCGGAACACGCCGGGCAACTTCACTTGCGAGTGCAGCAGTGGATACGAGAGCAATGTCAATGGGCAGTGCAATAGTGAGTGGAAAAGGAATACCGTTCCTCTGCATTTGTGTGTGTGTGTGTGTGTATGTGTGTGTGTATGTGTGTGTGTGTGTGTGTGTGTGTGTGTGTGTGTGTGTGTGTGTGTGTGTGTGTGTGTGTGCGTGTGTGTGTGCGTGTGTGCGTGTGTGTGTGTGTATGCGCTTGAGTATGCGTTTATGATTTAAAAAATCCCCCACAAAAAGCATTGCATTGTAAAACTAAACAGTGTCGCTGCATTCCCCTTCCAATACTGTTTGTCTTCCTATGCAGATATCAATGAATGTCTGAGTGACTTGCACAACTGTTCGCAAGATCGGGACTGCATTGACACACAGGGAGCATTCACGTGTCCGTGTCGTAACGGCAGCGCAGCAAGCAGCAGCCCGAACATAACGGCATGTGTCGGTAAGTTTGTCACATATGCATTAGCCATTTGATTGCTATTCTGGAATGTTCTGCTTGTCGGAATCTGCTCTAAGGAAAACATCTCAGGAATTGCACAAAATGATATACATGTCCCACCATCACCTCTCCACCTCGGTGCAGCCCCTGTTCAGTAGTTGTCTCATTTGTCCTAGTCTTAGTTTCATCGTCTTTCGTTATTACTTTCGAGCTGTGTATGTGTGTGACGGTGTATGAGTTTGTGTTTGTGTGTGTATGCATGTGCACGGTTGGGAGTACATGCATGCTTGTGTGTATAAATTTGCGTGTGTTTGTGTGCAAACCTACTTGGGTTTATTCAGATATCGATGAGTGTACGGATGGGCTGCACACTTGCCCTCCTACTCAGCTCTGCATCAACCTACAGCCCTTCTTTGAGTGCCAGTGCCCACCAGGAGCGTTCATAAATGGCTCACAATGTACGTAACATCTGTTCGGAAGAACAGCTCCTGTGGAGTACTGCAATTTTAACGTCAATTTAAGTTAGTAATCTCCAGATTTTTGTGGGTTAGCAAGGTGATATTCTAACGAATTCTGTCTCAAAACCGGCAAATGACTACACATGTACATATCGTTTTGCACATAACGACTTCAAAGGTTCAAAGGTTAACGATTCTTTCAAATTCGTTAACTCGTTAGAATTAAATGTTCGTTAACATTACTGGTCTTACAGTATTACACATAGTCCTAAAGGACCCGACATTTGTACATTTCAAATTCCCCTTCCTAACTGCTGCACGTTGGGTTCTGTATGATCTCTGAAAGTTCAGTGTGGAGTTGCACGGCAGGGTTTTATTCCAACTGAAACGTTGGCCACCTTACCTTTTTCGGCTCAGATCCGTTAAGTATTTCTGTTTGAATAAAGGGTTCAGTTTGAAAGCACACCATTTTCAACACACCGTATTTCCCCGAATATACGTCGCACCTTTTTACATTAATAGTCAAGGGCCCAAAGGGTGGTGCGTGACTTACAATCGAGCATGGCTTACTACTGAAGTGATCATATCAATACAATATGTCTCAAACCTGAAAATGGGGGTCGACTTTTAATCGGGAACATACAGTATATAACACCTATCACTAGGCCTTGTCTGTCGGAACTCTTCGCATTTCAGGTGACACGACGTTCACTGTGGAGCTGCCCGCGGAAGACGCGGAGCGGATCAACGCCAGCCGCTCCGTGTTCATCTACGAGCTGGCGGTGGGCCGCTGGTCACGACTGCAGGTGGTGGCCGACCTGCAGGAGCGCCTCGTCGTCAACCCGGCCATGCTGACCAACAGCACGGTGGCCATTGTGATAGTGGACACGGCCATGGAGAATACCAGTGACACGGGACTTGTACGTGGCAGCATGGCCAGGGTCGTGTACAACGGACAACTGGAACCCAGAGCTGGTGAGGGTGCCCAACAGGGAATTACACATACCAGTGAAATGACTTCATATTATTTATTATGCAATTGTCAATTATGCAATGAACAAAACTATATGCGCACTCATATCACCACCTTAGCAATGAATAGAGTATTCCAGAATGTTTTCTTGTCACAACTATCAATGGAATTTGTGACTAAAGGGAATGACAAGAAAACGTTCTGGATCACTTCATTCGTTGCTATGGTTATGGTTGTGATATGAGTGCGCATATAGTTTTATTCATTGCATGATTATTGTCTCCATGTCGCCTATTGACTCTCTTTTGTAGAGCCCTATGATAATGCAGTAGGCAAGCATCGATAATGTGATCACACTCGACCTCTAGTGTGCTTATGCCATCACTTTCCGTGTTTCTTATAATTTTAGGAAATGACAATCAGTTTCCGTGGCAGACGAGGCTCCATCTCTCTGTTTTGTTTTCCTGTCTGTTTATATTTTTTCCTACGGATGTGGAGAACTCGGCCTTCAGCCGAGTCTGACGCGAACCGTGAAATTTTTAATTTTTTTATTTTATATTGTTTTGCCTGTCGGTCTATCGCTCTGTTTCGTCTGTCTGTCTGCCCATCTGTCTTTACAACAAACAATCCACATCTCTCTCTATTTCTCTTTCTCGTGAACAGTGTTTGATTGGATCAACATGGCGCTGGCGGATCGCGACTCCTTCCTCACCCTAAACAGAACGGACGGAGTTCTCGCTGCCAGGCTAATATCGCAGCCACCACTGGTCGGTGATGGATTCTTCGCTGAATATCGTCTGATCGGTGCTGCAGATTCCCCGTGGATACCTGTGGTACAGGATATGTTCCCGGTGGAGGAAGAGAGCGACTATGAGTTGAGATTTGGATCCTCCCTGATCCTCTCTGATGGCCGTCGGCGGCGAAGAAAGCGCCAGGTTGGCATCATGCCTGACATCACGATTCCGATACCGTTCGTCACCGACATTCCCGGTGAGTGAGCGAGCGAGCGAGCGTGTGTGTGTGTGTGTGTGTGTGTGTGTGTGTGTGTGTGTGTGTGTGTGTATGTGTGTGTGTACCTATTGCTATTGTCCAACCAGGGGGTATACTTGTACATAACTGCCAACCTTTCTAAACCTGACATCGGGACAATGACATACCTACGTTTGAAAATGCACTCAAATGTAGCTGTGAGGCGTGTGACAAATACACTTTTGGGTGCCTGCTACCACCCACGATATCGGGACGGTACCGGCCAAATCGGGGTGGTTGGTAGGTATGGATATATACCGTGATACGGTGTATTGGAGCCGGGCTTAGTCCTGTACAAGTTGATGTCAGGGCTAGGCTTTTTTTCAATTCAGGCTCCTATTCAAAACCAGGTATTTCTGTGCATGTCAACGCTAAACCAGGTATTTATATGCATGTCAACACTAAAACCAGGTATTTATATTCATGTCAACACTAAAACCAGGTATTCCTATGCATGTCAACACTAAAACCAGACTCGTAGCCCGGGTCGTTTTGTATTAAATTTTACATTTACTGGAGTGTGTGCACAGTCGAGTCACTGTGTATGCATCGGTATGCTGTGCTGGGTGAAGTCCAAGCCTGTTCGGGGTTTCTTTTAAGAATCGCCCAACATTACCGAACTCGCATGCGTTCCTGTTGCTGCTACGAAACTCTCTCAATAATGAATCGGCAAATTTCCAGGCTTCGCCCATCCACAAGGTAAAACAATAAAAAAAACTGGCTCTTCGTCCGAGTCTAAAAAACTAAAGCTAAAGAAAGGCAATAAAGACTAATAGGGCCTTGTTTTGTTACAAGGATGGCAACAGGAAAGGCAGAATATATCATAAACAGGCGTGAAGTTGCATTGAGATGATGGGAACGATGGGAATTTGCAGCGAAGAGATTGCTTGCTTTTTGGATGGTGTAGGATTTTCCGTGCATTCGATTTGCATGGTGGTTCTATTTTTCTGTACACAGCTGACCCGATCATACCAACCACTACCCCTCTGGCTACCACCACCATGCCGTTAGCCACCGCGCAAGCACCAAGCAGCGAAGCGGCCACCACCACCACCACCGCCGCAGCCACCACCACCACACCGCAGACGCCACGCATCATCGTGCTGACCCCAGCCGCCACGACGCAAGCAGTGCAGGAGGAAGAGGCCACCGCGGCCGCTGCGGCAAGTTCCAGTGATCTGGCTGTGATTGCTGGTGCCGGTGCGGCAGGACTCGTCTGTTTCCTTCTCGCTATCATGCTGATTGTAGCCGCGTGTAGGAGGAGATCGCGGAGCAAGAAGGCAGCCTATCAGATTAGCAACGCCCCGCTAGGTAAGATGTGTGTGTGTGTATTTGTGTGTGTATGTGTCAGTGTGTGTGTGTGTGGGGGGGGGGGGGGGGTGCGTGCGTGCGTACGTGTGTATCAAGGTGTATGTGTGGGTGTGTGTGTGTGTGTGAGTCTACTCCACTTTACTATTTCGTGCAGATATGGAGGTGTGTGCAGAAGTGATGGGGTGTACGGGTATGGTTGTGTCTATGTGTGCGTGTACCTTTGGCCGCAGAGACCCACTGCCGAGTGTCAGGTATAGTTTCCTTCCTAATCAAATTGTACACAGACTAACATGTTTGTAGTGTTGCCTATCGCGTTTCTGTATGACTGTGTACATGTTCAATCGTGTTGTGTGCAATTGTGATTGTGTGTATGTGTGCAATTGTGTATCTGTATGTGCTAATGTGTATGTGGCGTGCCACAGACTTTGATCAGCTCAGCAATCCCAGTGTACAGAGCAATCAGCATTTACATTCTCCGCAGCACGCTATACCGCCGGTAAAGATGTGATTAAAGGAGTGCTGTTGTTTTTAGATAGATGCTCTGCGTAGAGGTTGTGCAATAAGCCTGTTGTTGCGCAATGACGTGATTTGTACCATAAACACCCCACACAGCAACCTGGGCATGGTCGTCTGGGGTGTTGAACAGTGCATTGCTAATCCCAGTGTACTCACATGCATCACTCATACCTTCCATATTTGGCAATGGGCTTTTGCATCATCAGTTGATAATTCAAAGCGTACCATAGCGATACACAATTTGACGTTACTATTAACAGGGTAGATGTCTGTATATAGTGACAAAAGTATCTGGGTGTGGCTTATACTCCGGGAAATATGGCACATGCATGAGGTGCAAGATGAATAAAATGAGATCTTGCTAAAGGTCTCTTTGTGCACGAGTTCTCTCCAGAGCAAATCTGTTTGATACATGCTTGAATGCAGGCATGGGATGGATCAGCTGGCACACACCCTAATGGTGACATGGCAATGTATCAGATGACTGAGGCATCAACACATCAGAACCTGGTGAGCTGGATGATGTGAACCCAGATGTGTTCGTCTGTGTGCGTGCAAGCGTGAGAGTGTTACAGATAGTGTGTGTGAGTGTGTGTCTGTCTGTGCGTCCCAGGATTCTTCTTGGACAGTCTGGCATCTATTACCTCTTTAGTTGCGCTCTCTATCTCTGTTTTCTGTGTGTCTATGCCTCTGATGGGGTCTGCGATGGCAGAACTTCACATCACGTGACGAACCCTTACACATTATTTTCACCCTATGCATGATATATACAGGGTTGTGCGCAACCCTGCTTTGGGTTCAACTCTCTGGTGGTCACTTTGCACTGTTTGCCAGAGTAACCTTTTGAACTATGTCACGTAATGTGAAGTTCTGCCATCACATCACTGTATAGAGGTTGTGCAGGCAGTTGCACACTCTTGGGGTTATGTCGTCTTGCTGATATGCATCTGGCCATTCAGTTTGCAGGGTGTTGACATGGCTATCCAAGCATTGGTGGTTCATTGGTAGAATCCTTGCCTGAAACATGGCAGGCCTGGGTTCAATTCCCGGCCAATGCATGTTCTTCTTGAAAAATTCCCAGAGGTCAGAGGGTGAGCGAGCATTTAGGTCCTATTGAACGGCACCCTGGGTTCGTAATTATTGATTTTGTTTTTAATTCTTTCGGATGCATGGTTCCGACGGTTTACACAGCACGTGGAGCTAAACGGAAAAGTTGTACACCTAAACGGAACTATTTCTTCACTGTGGTTAGTGTTCCCACGACAGCACCGCTCACAGGATGGACTTTTGCGGATCCTTCACGCCCGTGTAGATGCGCAAAAACTATACAAACGGAGATGCAGCTCGGATCATCGCTGATCGCGTAAATGCACCAAAACGGACGGAAACGCGCCGATGAAGAAATACGGGATTGAAAGCGGAAAATGTCAACGGCAGTACTGTAGAGCTGCCCTTATCCAGGCAGGTTGGGATCAGACACAATTGGTTTTTCTAATTGTATTGCCTCTTAATTAAACCATTCTCTGTGTCTTTCCGTTAGGCAACAAGCACGTTCAGAAAGAACCAGTCACGTGATCGAATGCAGGTGAGTAGTCTGTTGAAATGTCATGTGATCAAATGCCAGTGTGTCGTGTGTTGGAAGTTAGTGTCATGTGACCGAAGTGCCGGCGAGCATTGTGTTAAAGTATCACATGACCGAGCGCCGGTGAGTAGTGTGTTGTGATTTGGTGTCATGTGACCGAATTCCAGTGAGCGGTGTGTTGAAATGTCACATGACCGAATGCCAGTGATCTGTGTGTTGATATTAAGTATCACATGACCGAAAGTGCCAGCGAGTCGTGTGTTGAAATGCCAGGTCTCCATGTTGGCCGTATAAATAGAAAAAAGCTTAGAACGTGTTGACTAAGTTTCCCTCTTGGATGTTGTTGTCTTGTTCTCACTCATTCGCCGTGTTGTAACTTGTGCCCCTCTCTCCCCTGGTAGGTGAACATGCAGATGAGCAACGGTGGCCGAAAACCAGAAGTGGAATATGACGCGGTATGTTGCTCACACACAGGCACCGCACGGATTTTCCTGCTTGTGCTGCCGTCAGCACAACATTTTCCGGGCCATAGCCAGTCTAAAACAGTAACCCTCTAGAACATTACACTGCACTCATTGCGGTGAGTGTATTCTATAAAATCGACGTTTCGTGACGCATCGGTAAGCAAAAAATTGTAGGCAAGAGTGTGCGACTCGGTAATCTGTTCGCCCAAGGCTGAGCTTCTTTTCGTGAGCATTTGGCCCACTGAGGCCACTCTTTGCAAGTACAGTGTGTACATACCTAAAGCACTAGGTTAAAGCTACTGTTTAAAAAAAGAAAAAGTGAATGCAACCACAGCAACAGACTGTAGATCCTGCTCAATAGGTCTTTTAATCATGACCAGCTGTACAAGCAGCACAACAAGTTGTTGTGCTGCTTGTACAGCTGCTCGGTCAAGTCAAGAAAGGTATTGCCTTGTGCACATTGATCTCTGCCAGAAAAGGCCACTGGGGATGAGTTAAAAACTCCCAGATGAGCATCCATTTGCTTTTGGAGGATTGCTTGATAACGGAATATTTAGTTTATATGTAAGCTCTGTCCACTATGGTTTTGAGCATTGAGTGGACAGCGGACACATTCTGCTGTGTGAAAGAGCTCACCAGGTACTCAACTAACATGCATTCGAACTGTTGGCTGGTAATGCGACTAGGACCCGTGCAGTGACTTTTTCATTAAAAATGATGTGAAAATGATGTTGATGGTGGTTGTTCATGTTTGTGCAAAATTCTTGTCGACTCGCTGTCCCTTTGCTTGGCCAATGCAGGTGGCAACGTCGTCACAGGACAATATTGACAGCACTTACTTCACACATCTACAGGGTTCCCAGCCCAGAGGCCAACAGCAGGAGCGCCAGGTAAACAGTCGGTGGAGTACCGGGAACTGTGAATCACGCAGCAAGCTTTCAACCTTATCAAAAATACACCCCATGTCCTGGCATGGTCTGGTGTGATATCGACTGAATGCTTTTTTCATACAAAATCATTGTGGAGATTTTGTCCATCTGTTTGTTTGTTTGTTATTGTTTGTTTGTTTGGTACATACAGGTGGCTGCCTCTCCACCCAGCAATGTGGACAGTACGTACTTCACGCATCTCCAAAATGCCACACCCCAAAGCCAGGCGCGACAGCAGAAGGTAAGCAATGTGTGCCGTCACCAAGGCTTGCTTGTCTCAACAGTCGCCCAAACCACCCCGGCTTCCGGTCCGAAGAGCCGAGGGAAAATGAGAAGAACATTCTGCGCTAGCGAAGACAAAGCCAAACGCAGCATACGGCCTCCCAGTATAGTGGAACTCCCTTCAATTTAGACTATGTCTTTGGGCAACCCTCAAATACAAGGCATCTGCTCCTAATACTGTATTTTATTATACCCTGTTGTAAAACGACTACCCCTCGTTAAGTCGGTTTCTAGGTCATTACAGGACTGACTTATAACCGGTAAAATACAGTTCTGTGGATACGGTGGAACTCTGGTAAGATGTACTTCCGCTGGGTAACAGGAAAGTGTACTTACACTACGTGATGTACTTCTCATCCAAACCTACTTCAATACTGGGCACTGAGGACAACATCACTCCGGACAGTATCCGTACTAGGCAAGTGTTCGTCTTATCAGAGGATATCTTTTGAAAGCAAGTGTTTGTTTTATCAGAGTACTTCCTCCGCGTCATTAAAATTGTCGCTTCCCAGAGCAATTTTTCGAAAATTATTTTGTCCACTGGAAGGGCAAAGAAATCAGCTAGAGCATTCTCGACGGACCAAGCTTTAGTTTGTGGCCCCCCGCTTCGCTGCAACTGCAGCTAAGGTCGACATCTTCATCAGAGTTTGAGGCAGATCCTTCAGCACTCAACAAGATGCTGAACAAGAGAAGACGCGCGTTCAAATTCAGGTCAAGAAACTTCGTTTTCAGGCGATCCATGCCTCCAGGTGGCAGGCGATGAAGGCAAGCTAGCATTTTTCAAGTACACTGTAACGACCTTCCAGCGGGATAGGGTAAGCAGTTCCGCACCTTCTTTCCTTGGCAAGCACTTCGCTAATTTTGTTGGTGTTTTCAGACCTGCTACCTTCGCAGCAACATGCGCCACAAGTAGCGCATTTTAGGAATTTGAGACCACTTTGTTCTTGCCATCGTCAACTTCAGCAGTTCGTATTCAGGAGAGATACCAAGATTCTTATACCCGAGCTTGCAGTCTTGACAAATGCCCACGTGAACGATGTGAGACAGCACGAACTCCAGAAAACGAAATGCGCTCTGGGGCGGAATAGTGCGGAGCGCGATGAATTTGCTTGGTGCGGAAGAGAGCTCCGACAAAGTTCGAGACCGCCACGCCTTCAGTGACAAGTAGACATTCCGCAGGAAGGGTTACACCAGTGTTCGAACACAGAAAACAGCGATTCCGACAGTCTGACTAAGACGAGCCAAGTCACAAATATTGCGATGTGCGAAGCGACAATTTTAACGACGCGGAGGAAGTACATTCAGTGAAACCTGTCTAAGGCAACCGCTCAAGGAACCTGTCACCAGGTGGTCTCCTTATCCAGGGTCATTTGACTGGAAACAGCATCCCTTGGTCCTGGTAGCAGTGGTCTTCTTGGACAGGTGGTCGCCTTATCCGAGTGGTCGCCTTGACAGGTTTTTACTGTCACGAGATGTACTGATCAAGTGCAGTCTTATCTAGAGTATGAATTAAGCATGTGTACGTCAGATCAGATTATTACTCAATCTGCGGACGCTTCTTATCAGATTAGCAGTTGCGTAGCTCATGTCTAGTCAGCTAAGTCTAGTCACCACACCAGCAAATAGCCGTCATAGGTACAACATAGTCAAAATGGGCAAACTGGTGACCATGAGGTTGCCGCTGGTACATGGTCACCACACCACAGATGTACTCTGGTACAGGGTCACCACACCACAGAAGTTCGAGCTACTCGCATGGATTACGTAATGAATGCGTTCCACTGTGTTTCTCTGTGTTTGTAGCAACAGGAAGCTGACACTGCGGAATACGCTGACGCTGTGGAGCTAGGCCATGCGGTACGTTGAAGCTGCACTGCAAACTGTCCACATTTGCTATTTTTTGTTTCAATTACCGTATTTTTCGGAGTATAAGCCGTACTGAAGCACAACCCCCCCCCCCCCCCGCCATTTTTTTGCATGAGATATAGACATCTTCCCTATTTATCACCGTTAATTTTTTCATCACCGGAGTATAAGCCGCACCTCCCTTCCGGGGGTGAATTTTGAGTGTTCAAAGTGCGGCTTATACTCCGTAAAATACGATACCAGAACTTCTTTTTTTCCATTGTGTTGCTTTTGCCCGTAAAAGAGGCTGTTCTACTAAAAAAAAAAAAAAAAAAAAAAACAGAACTGAAGCCTAGTAGATTCAGGTAAACCCTCTCAACTTTCTCAGCCAACAACTCCTGGTCAATGAATGGTGCAAAAGAGGTAGGGGTGAAAGGGGTGATCCAGGTACCCGGGTACCCGTCTGTTTAGCTGCTGATCCGTTAGCAAACGAGTGCCCGTTAGTCGTGTACGACGGTACAGTACGGTATTATTAGCTGGCTTGTACAGTCGTACAGTTCGATGTACAGTTTGAATGTGTTGTTGCTGGTTCGATCCTGCTACATAGCAGGGAGTAGTACAATATTGTACTACTCCCTGCTACATATGACAATTTGGACTAGCTGTTTTGCATGTAGCGCAGTAAGTGTGTATGCTGCGCTTGTCGCGATGTTGTGCACTTGCTGTGAATTGCATGACATCACATGTCCTCCTGGCACGAAATGAGAAAGGCTATTGTATAGTAACTGCTACTATTAGCTGCTAAAGGGTACCCGATAACCCGCACGTTAAGCCAGGTACCCGTTTGTAACCTTTTAAAAGGGTAGCCATTTCACCCCTAAAAATAAGTATGTGAGAAAGTTGTCACTGTTTTGACATTGTAGTACGCCGGTGGTACCCACTGTTGTTTGATATGAGTAATCTTCATGGTTTCACTATGTAGCTGGCCCCACTAGCGCTATCTTTTAAAGTGTTAATGGATGTGTAGACATACAATGAAGTAACTGTGTGGCATGGGTATGAACGAAGGCTGAAATTGCATCACAGCTTCATGCAATTTCCCAATCCACATCCGCCCACAACTTAATTTTCTACCGTTCGTTGTGAATTTGTCTATTTGTAGAAGGTGATGCCGATTTTTATAGCATCAATGTGACTCATATAGGCAGGGTGGTTGAGTGGAGGTAGAAACAACATGGCCGACATCATGTGACCCATAGACACAGGGGTTGAGTGGAGGTGAAACCAACATGACAGATATCAGTTGAACTGAGGGTTGAGTGCAGGTAGAATCAACATGGCGGACATCACGTGACACAAAGATGAAGAGGTTCAGGGATGGAGCCGACATGGCCGATACGAGACCTATAGATGCAGGGGTTCGGTGGAAGCGGAACCAATATTATGGTTGTCCAGGATTATCACGTGATAGATACGCAACCACTATACACATTATTGGGGTAGTTTATTAGCCATTATTTGCAGACATTTTATTAGGAGATAAAAAATTGGATGTTGTTGATGCATATTTTGTCCAACTGTTTCAGAAACCGGCAGGTCAGTCGCCTGACCCGGTATATGATGATGCTGCTGAGCATATGCGTGGGGTAGGGCTAGTCACTTCTTGTGTCTTTTTTATTGTGATCATTGTGTCCCTCGTTGTTTTACTTATGGCACACGTGTACACATTTGCAATTCTGTGTGCATCCACACACTCGAGATGTCTGTGTCAAGCTGAGTTTTCTCTTAGTGGCTATCTGTCTCACGTTCATTCTCTCCCCCCCCCCCCCCACACACACTCACTTGCTATCTCTCTCTCTCTCTCTCTATCTATCTATCTATCTATCTATCTATCTATCTCTCTCTCTCTCTCTCTCTCTCTCTCTCTCTCTCTCTCTCTCTCTCACTCACTCACTCACTCACTCACTCACTCACTCACTCACTCACTCACACACTCTCTCTCTCTCTCTCTCTCTCTCTCTCTCTCTCTCTCCTACACACTCTCTCTCATGCCCTCCCCACACACTCTGCCTCGCTCCAACCCCCTCCCTCTTTTGCTCCCTCTTTCGCTCCCTCTTTCGCTATCGCTGACTGGTCTTTGTTTGTTTACGTGTTCACGATTGTTACAGAAGCCAGCTGTTAAGGAAGCCGAGCCAGTATACGATGACGCGGAAAAGCTGCATGGGGTGAGGCTTAGTCCGTTTGGATAAAAGCAGGACATTACCGTGGGTATCGTGCCGTATTCGGTGGGGAAGTCTGCATGTAGTGGCATAAGGCTAACCCTTTCATTTCCCTCTGGCTTGGCTGTATCCTTAGATCTTTCCTATCGCCAACCTTCTGACGGTGCGTGTGTGTGTGTGTGTGTTTGTGTGTGTGTGTGTGTGTTCGTGTGTGTGTGTGTGTGCGTGTGCGTGTGCGTGTGTGTGTGTGTGTGCGTGTGTGTGCGTGTGCATGTCTGTGCATACCTGTTTGCGTGTTTCTGGGTGGGTGGACGTGCATGCGTTCTTGGGTGGGCACGTATGTGCGTGGTAGTGTGTTTCCGTGTGTTTCTGTGTATATGTATGTTTCAGCGTGTTCATGTTCTGTTTCAATCCTCTTTGCACCACCCAGCTGCCGAAGGCAAAGGGCATCCCAAATCCATTCGGCAACTTTTCTGCCTACAAAGTGAAAGAAAAGCTAGCGTCGCCGGAGAAAGACTCTGCTCCGGTCTCCAACCCGATGTATGGTGAGCAGCAAAAGTCACAGCCTCCTCTCCCACCCAAACCTACAGGACATGTGAGCTCACCCATCAGGGATCGCAGCACCTCGGCAGGGGCGGTGCAATCACCCATCAGGGATCGCAGCACCTCGGCAGGGGCATTGCAGGTGTCAAGCAGCGGGAAGCCTCCGCCGATCTATGATGCTGTGCCGCCGCCTGTGCCTCCTCCGCCTAAAAACATTCCTTACGGCGATGATTCGGTGAGCAGCTGTTTCAGAATTGTGTGTGTGTGTGGGGGGGGGGGGGAATGGATGTGTGTGTGTGTGGGGGGGGGGGGGGGAATGGATGTGTGTGTGTGGGGGGGGGGGATGGATGTGTGTGTGGGGGGGGGGGGGGGATGGATGTGTGTGGGGGGGGGGGGGGATGGATGTGTGTGTGTGGGGGGGGGGGGGAATGGATGTGTGTGTGTG